AAATTATTTTCAGTTTCGTAAGATCCACAACGAGTAATCCTGAGGCAATGGAAAGGACAACATTACGGATGCAATTCAACAAAAACTTTCGCCACGTTCCGATTTTGTAGTTGATAGCTTTGGTTGAGAACTTATACTGCTCAGGCTTCGTCAAATCAACAAATTATATAAACTCGTTTTTCATACACGAAATGTATCTGCCCGTATTGAAATGTGACAGCAAAACGCATCACCAAAAAGACTACTGACTGTGCTGTGACAAGCTCATTGTGATATTTTTCACGGATAGTATAGAATCATTACCAATGCTCCAAAAAAAACAGATCAATAGCCTGCCAGTTCCCAAAACGCTGAAGAAATTTTAAAATAAAAATGAAACAAACAGTTTGTTCGCTTACAAGTTCATTCCGACAAATCGCTTCATTCATGTCGATTGGTAAATCGTCGAATCGACTTGTCAAAACAATCTTATAAAATGTTTTTGTGGCAGCCTGAAATGAAAAACAACAACAAATCATTTAAACTATCAAAATTTCAAACAATCAAAAACAAATTCAAATCGAAACAGTGCAAACCTTCTGCAGTTCAACCCACTGTCCACGCAACAACACAGAGCCATATTGTAGGTATTCGTTCATAAAATTGAACATTTTCTTTGTTTCGAATGCACGCGAACTCAAATATCGCAGAAATCGCAACAAACACTTCCCTAATCCACCCAATACCTCGTTCATATCGCGCACTTCGTGATCTTCACAATATGTTACCGTCTGAAAAGTACATGCGAATGCGTCTCTTTAGCCATCTCGCATAGTTCTCTTCCAAAGTCAAACAAATCTTCCAGTGAGACAATAACAAAAATATGATAATAATATAAACAATAATGAAAAAACAGTAAAACGATCTAAAATATAACAATATTAATAACAACAACACAAAGCACTGACCTTTTCAAGCATTTGCGAATAGAGTGACGACTTCACGGTACCAATTTGATTCAAACCGAACAAAAGAAACAACATACAAATATGTTCCTTTCGTAATGTACCCGCTTCGAACAGCTTCTGCAGTTCTGCCCATTTGCACAGCACGAACAGTGCGTTGTCCAGTCCTAAACCAANATCAGTTTTCAATACAATCTTCTCATCAAATTCCCTTCATAACTCATGATCACTTCTGCCATAAACTCATCAAAACCAAATCCATTTTCGAACCAATGCCTTGCTAAACACTGCGAGAAAGAAATAATTACTCGTTCCGATTTAAAAAATGAGCAATAATTGATAAATTTCACAACTCACTGATAAGCTACAATACAAGTGAACAATTTCTAGACGAACTACCTTGATATCTACGGAGATATAAACGCAGTACAGGTACCCTCTCCATCAAAATTTCCATTTCCTTTTGTTCTTCGTCACTGTTTCGTCGACAATATTCAGCGATATGCTGTAAGGCAATAGACCAACATTTACATTGCACTATCAAAATTATCAAATCATATTCATTCTGAACCGAGCCATTGAAGCTCCTCAAATGCTCAATGTTTCATCAATGCTTACAAGATAAAACTCAACCTAAGCACAGACAGCAAGACCAGAACAACAACCATGGTATTGCAATAAAAAAGAACCGAACCCTGGAAACACTTTCGCTCAGCGGATCCAACGACTGCACTAAACGTTGCCCATTCACCAACCGCATCTCTTGCTTGATATGCGACAACACATCCCATGCCAGCCAACCAAACGATAGTAAACGTCGTGCACTCTGCGATGCTTGTCCTCAAAATCA